GCCCCCTTCGGCCCCGCCCCCTTCCCCTCCGCGTCGGCCGGGCCCTCGAATCAGAGCACTTGCGCGTGATTCTTCCGCATTGGCGGATGTAGGACTCGGAGACTGAGAATTCGGTTGGGAAGGCAGTACAAATACCTATAAAAACCACAGTTTAGGAAAATCAAAACTGTAACCCATTAACTTGAGGAGCCACTTTTTACTTTCGAAGGTCCAATTGTAAATGGTCGGTTTTAATGTAAAATGTTCAAAATAGTACTTGGAAGCCGAGGCAAAGCACTTACTAGTATGAGTTCGCTCCGGTGGTAGAGGTTGTCTTAATACCGCTCCCTCCTCCCACCCCAGCCATAGTCCAAGACTAGAGTCATGCTGCTAAAAACCTCTGTTTAATTTTTTGAGCCAGATCTTTCCCCTTAGAGGCAAGATAACTCAGCAAGCTCCACGGCGGTGCTTGGGGGTGGGGTGCGGAGGTGGGGGCTGAGGAGAGGGGGGAGGGGGGCTTTATATAAAACAGGTGTTGGGACTTGGCTTTGAATGCCTTCCACAGGAAGTCAATGTAGTGATAAAAGTCACTACAGAATTTGGAGGTATGTATTTCAATCCACGATGGCCAGATTTATTTTTCTTAAAATATGTTTTATTGATTTTTTTACAGAGAGGAAGGGAGAGGGAGAGAGAGTTAGAAACATTGATGAGAGAGAAACATCGATCTGCGATCACGATGGCCAGATCTAAAGGTCTTTTGCTATTCTGTAGACCACTGTAGACTCCGGAAAATTTAGCCAGACTTTTCTAAAGGGCCTATTTTTTTTTCTTTTTCTTTTTTAGAGAGAGAATGGAAGGGAAGGAGGGGGAGAAAGAGAGAAACATCTATACACATGGATTGGTTGGCTCTGGCAGGCTCCCTGAATGGGGCCTAGGGCCAGGGTGGAACCTGCAACCCAGGTATGTGCCTCCACCCGGAATTGAACCCACGACTCTTTGGTGCGCAGGCCCACGCTCTATCCATTGAGCCATGCCAGCCAGGGCTCTTCTGATATATTTAATCAATAAATTTAATTGGCTGGCTTTGTTTTACATTTATAGATTCTTCATTTCCATTAGACTACTTAGACTACATTAGTCGAATGCTCTTTCATCTTTTTATTCAAATGTTTTCATTGGCAAAATCACAAGTGTATTGATTTACATTGAATTTAGATTGTTTTTCGTTTGGAAAACGTGATTTTCTAGCTTAAAAAATACGCTGAATGTTCATTATTACTGGGTACAAGTTTTGGGGTTTTTTTTAAATGTACTTTTATTGATTTCAGAGAGAAAGGAAGAGGGAGAGATAGAAAAATCAATGATGAGAATCATTGATTGGCTGCTTCCTGCACGCCCCCCACTGGAGAATGTGCCCTTGACCGGAATCGAACCTGGGACACTTCAGTCTGCAGGCCAACGCTCTATCCACCGAGCCAAACCGGTCAGGGCAAGGGAAAAAATTTTTTTTTTAGATTTTTTTACTAGGCATCACTTTTTTTTCTTTTTTTTAAACTTTACAATTCATCCTTCCCTAACATATTTGGTATTCAAAAGACAAACATCCAATCAAATATAGCTATAGTAATATGTAGACTATCCTTGTGCGCCAAAGTATATTTACAACTCTTTGTAGCAATTTACTTGATAAGTGGACTAGGATGAAAAAACAGCAGATTCTCTATGTATTTCTAAGGGCTGCAGCGGTCTGGGATATTCACACTAAGTAATTCAGGTCTTTGTAGAAGCCACTTTAACAGGAAATAAAATAATGTGTATTGAAGAACGATTGTGTATTGAGAGAGGCATGATGATAACAAAGGACTATACCCTGGAGCTTGTTGATTTTTCTGATGGGGATTTAGCTCTAATCTTAGACTACAAGGTTTAGTTAGCCAAAGCTACAAGTAATTTCCAATACATTTCCTGCTATCTTAATGCTAATTTCGCCTGTTGTCTAGATTCTTTCATTCTAAAAGTAGTTGTTGATTTTGTTAAAATACTAAAAGGTTCCTAAAGTTCAAACCGTTTATTAGAGAAAATCAATGCTGTGTTGATACTTTCAGGGCTGCTTTTCAAGTGAGGATTTAACAAAATCCCAAGGTAAACTCATCTGATGTTTTATGCATGGTATTCAGAGAGTGAAAATCACTCCCCGTGGGTATTGTAATTAGATGATAGGCACAGGGATAGGAAATAGTATGGGCTCCCATTTTAGAGTTATGCTCACTGTCTGCTAGAGATGCAACAACACATTTGACATATTTTGAAATATATAATTTTATTAATTCCTGAGAGGAAGGGAGAGGGAGGGATAGAAACATCAATGATAAGAATCATTGATCAGCTGCCTCCTACATGCCCCCTGCCTCCTGCATGCCCCCCCACTGGGGCTCAGCCTGCAACCCAGGCATGTGCCCAGGGGAATCCAACAACCTTTCAGGTTCATAGGTCAATGCTCAGCCATCCCAGCCCTAGTGGCATATTTTTAACACCGAGACTATACATGTCTCAAGAAAGCATTTTGTTAATTTGTTTTCTTGGTGTGTGTTTGGATATACAACTCACCCAGTTTTCCCCTTAGTTTCACACCATCCTAAAAACGTAAAAAAAAAAAAAAAAATTAAAAAGCCCTATAAATAAATTGCATTCGCTTCCTTTTCTCCCATTCCGTAGCATTGTTTTAGTCAGTGGAGAGAGTTCCTCCCTGAAGTATTAAAGGAAAGTTCTATTTATTTTGATTTGCATGAAAAAGTACGCTCCATTTCAGGTTCCACTTCCAGGAGTGAATCACTAATGGGTTGAACCCTGCGGTAACTTTTGAATAAATGGTAAAAATTCTCGTTCTTTGCTCCCCCCGACCCCCTCTCGCAGCAGACCCATTTCCCTAGTTCAAAATGTTTTCCCTCCCGAGTTCAAAATCTTAAAACCCACCCTGGAGCCACCCCAGGAAGGCACCCCGCCACCGCCCATCTGGGGCGGTACCAGTCGAATCACAAGCTTCTGCCAGTTGATGGACGGGTCCGCACTGTACCAAGAACCTGCAGCGGTCTCCCTGGACGCTGGCCATTGGTTGCGGGGGACCGCGCGGAACCAATGGGGAGAAGGCGCGGAACCAATGGGGAGAGTCCCCGCTGTGCGCGGGAAAGAGACCAGTATAAACCGTGCCCGGGAGGGTGCTGTTCTTGTTCTTGTCCAGTGAGACGCCCTCCGTGGGAAAGCCAGCGGGTTGCTCTCGCCTCCTCGCGTCCGAACATGGTGCGGACTAGAGCGGACAGTCTCCCGGGTACCTACAGAAAAGGTGAGGCAGTCCAGCGGGTAGTGGAGGGCCGGGTGTACCCCTCACCGTGTCCCCTGCCCCCCCTTCCCCGCCGGCGGAAGAAGCGTGTGGGGGATGGGGGGGCCAAGGCCTTGTGTGCCAGAGTTAGAGAAGCCTGGGAAGCAGCGGCCCAGCTGCTTAAAGTGGGGTGGGGGGTCGGGGGGAGGGTTATCCTGGGGCTCTCCGAGAGCTTGCGTCTGGGACTGTGGAGCTTGGGGCTCAGTGTGGGACCCTTACTGCCCCCTTCTAAACGCCCTCCTCTGCCTCTTTCCGCAGTGGTGGCTGCTCGAGCCCCCAGGAAGGTGCTTGGTTCCTCCACCTCTGCTGCTAATTTCACTTCGCCTTCTTCTAGGAAAGGTAAGAAGCGCGCCTGCCAGCGCCTGGAGGAAACCTCTCAAAAGGGATCAGACCTGGCACCACAATTCTCCCCTTGGTACCACATTTCTCCTGATCTGCAAGCACCCTTACCCATCGTGGAATTTATTTTCCCGAGATTCTCCTGCCCGAATGTCTTCCTTGTCCTATGATTTAATGAGGGGGCTTTGGTGTCTTGGAGAGTTGGTGCAGAGGAGGGGAAAGAATCTCAAGCCTCGATGTTAGGGATAAATACAATTTATCTTCAAACCTATTTTTTCTGCTTTAGTGTGTTGTTTTAATATTGACAAATGCCATTTTTTAATTTTTTGTATTTATTTTTGACAAATGCCATTTTATATATATATTCTATTAATTTTTACAGAGGGGAAGGGAGAGCAATAGAGAGTTAGAAACATCGATGAGGGAGAAACATCAACCAGCCGCCTCCTGCACACCCCCCACTGGGGATGTGCCCGCAGCCAAGGTACATGCCCTTGATCGGAATCGAACCCGGGACCCCTCAGTCCGCAAGCTGATGCTCTATCCACTGAGCCAAACTGGTTAGGGCAACAAATGCCACTTTTTATTAAAATTGGTTTTAAATATCTTTTTATTGGTTTGAGAGAGAGAGAAAAAAAAACATCAATGAGAGAGAAACATCATTGATTAGCTGCCTCCTGCTCACTCCTTACTGAGAATGGAGCCTGCACACCCCACCACACATATGCCCATACCAGAATCGAACAGTGACCTCCTGGTTCAGAGGTCAATGCTCAATTCACTGAGTCACAGCTGCTGGGCTATTACATTTTTTAAGTGACTTAAAATATATATACTAGAGTCCCAGTGCGCGAAATTTGTGCACTGGGCAGGGGGGGGGGCGCGGAGAGTGCCTCAGCCCAGCCTGTGCCCTCTTGCAGTCTGGGACCCCTCGCTCCTTACTGCCTGCCTGCTTGCTGCTCCTTAGCGCTGCCACGGAGCAGCAGCTGTGAGCCCAGCTTCTGGCTGAGTGGCACTCCCTCTGTGGGAGCACACTGACCACCAGGGGGCAGCTCCTGTGTTTAGCATCTGCCCCCTGGTGGTCAGTAAGCATCATAGC